TGCATCAGGGAGATGTTTCCCAGGGGGCAGGGTGAGGTGTGTTTTATTGGACTTGTTACCGGTGGGTTAGATTTCTGGGTATGCACTTGCGTGCCCTCAGCCCCTGGAAGATGCCACTCGTCATGGCCTCTGTTGCAGGTCAGACATCTGCTGACATCTGAGGCTGCATTGCTGGACATGTCCCTCTCTGCAGTGTCCAAGCAGGCACTGTCCTCCAGTGGCTGAGAGCTGTGGTCCCCACAGTGGGGAGCTTTGTTCTGAACTGGGGGCTGCTTCTCATGGCCACTTTACATCTGCCTTTTATTGATTTTCCTCACAAAACTCCTCTTAACTGCGTTTATATCTTGAGTGTCTGAGCTCTGCCCTGCACCAGTTTCTATCTGGTGAATTTCCCTGTTCTCCTCCTCCCGGAAAACTCAGTATCTGCTTGGCAACACCTCATGCTCTTTCTGTCCACCATCTGTCATTTCGTTTCCTGGGGCCGCCTCCTCCTGTGGCCAGTCCACCACCCCAGGATGCCCTGTTTCCTGCTCCTTCCAGCAGGGACACATGATCTAAGACTGAAAATGGACGGAAGGGGATGTGGTGAGTCTCATCTCTGCCTGCTACCCAGTTCTGCAGTTCACAGTTCTTGTTCCTCCCTCTAGAGGTCCTTTCTGCATATAATGTATAAACACAGGACATGTCAATATGCATACATGTACACAGATGTCACATGTACAAAAAGTGAGCGCATGAGTCCCCAGATATGCATGGACAGCTGGTAGCACGTTGGTGTCTAGCTGGTGGGCTGGGGTTAGTCCCTACAGCCCCTTCTGCCTGCCTAAAGAGGCCTCAGCTGACAGACGTTCAGGTCACCCCGTCAGGATTCCACAGTGCATTTTCCTGCTCGTGCTTTTGGCACAGAGATGCACTTGGCTTTAAATCAGGAACCTCTCTCTTCTCTTCTGTTAGCATGAATAATTGAGTTGACTGTCAACTGATTTGGGTATTGAAAAGATATAAACATTGTTGCACAAGTGACCAAACAAACCAAGAACTCAAAGTTTAACTGGCGATTGATCAGGAACATTTTTCACATTTTAGGACTACTACATGTGTTTGTTACTATTAGCAAACGCAGCTGTAGCATTGCACACTCTACAACAAGTGTGTGTCTTCTTGTGCTCTGCGGGTGAGTCACTTTGATCTGTGCATTCCCACTGAGGAGCAGGTCCACAGCAGACCATTGTATGGTATGTAGTTTCAGAGCACAGATAAGGCAATGGCACCCCACTCCAGTACTCTGGCCTGGAAAATCCCATGGACGGAGGAGCCTGGTAGGCTGCAGTCCATGGGGTCGCTAAGAGTCAGACACAACTGAGCGACTTCACTTTCACTTTTCACTTTCATGCATTGGAGAAGGAAATGGCAACCCACTCCAGTGTTCTTGCCTGGAGAATCCCAGGGATGGGGGTGCCTGGTGGGCTGCCATCTATGGAGTCGCACAGAGTCGGACACAACGGAAGCGACTTAGCAGCAGCAGCAGTTTCAGAGCAAGCCATGTGAAGCCTTAGCTGTTTCTCTACTTAGTCTAAGGAGTTTCTGCAGAGTTTACTGCTGAGAACCATCCTAACAGATTAACAGGGTCAGTCGGATGAATGCAGAGCCCCCATCTGGGGAGCAGGGTTATAATCAAGTGTAATCTCATAGTAACTTCTAATGATCCCTGTATTTACCTGGTATCAATTGTAATGTTTCTTTCATTTAGAATTTTGTTGAGTTGGTTCTTTGTTTTCCTTGGTGAGCCTAGCTAAAGGTTTGTCAGTTTTGTTTGTTTTCAAAGAACCAACTCTTAGTTTTATAAATCTTTCCTGTCATTTCCTTGTTCTCTATTTCTCTTCACTATCACTGTTTTACTAACTTTGCACTCAGTTTGTTGTTCTTTTTTCTCATCCCTTAAGGCATAGAGTTATGTTATTCCAGATCATTATTTTGTCTTGTGAACTTCTTTCTTAGAACTGCTTTTGTCGCATTTTGTATATGTTGTGTTTCCATTTTTGTCTGTCTCAAGATACAGTTTTATTTCCTCTTTGATGTCTTTGACTTGTGTGTTGTTCAGGAGAGTGTTGTTTAGTTTGCATGTATTCATGCAGTTTCCACTTTTCCTCCTCTGGTGGTATATGTTGCAGTCAAAAAAGATACTATGCTTACAGTCTCCTAAATTTGCTCAGACTTGTTTTGTGGCCTAATATATGGTCTGTCATAGAAAAGGTTCCATGTGTTCTTAAAAGAATGTGTTTATTTTGCAGTCATGTTATGGAATATTCTATATGTGTTTGTGAGGTTCATTTTGTGTGTAATGTTGTTCAGACTGTTTCCATATTGATTCTTTGTTTGGATGATCTGTATCCATTGTTGAGAGTGTGGTATTAAATTCCCTAGCTATTATTGTACCACAGTGTCTCTTTTTAGCTGTTAGTAGTGGTTGTTTTGGCTGCACCTTGCAGTTTGTGGGATCTTAGTTCCCCAACGAGGGATCAAATCCAAGTCCTCAGCAGTGAAAAGGCTAAGTCCTAACCACTGGACCACCAGGGAATTCTGTTAATTTCTGCTTTCTACATTTATGTGTTCCAGTGTTAGGTGCATAAATATTTAATAATTGGATCTTCTTGATAGAACTGACCCCTTTATCATTATATAGTGACCTTCTTTGTCCCTCTGCACCATTTGTAAAGTCTGTTTTGTGTTACATAAGCATAGCTATCCCTACTGTTTTTGGGTCACCATTTGCTTGAAGTTAGTTTTACATCCATTCACTCAGGCTATGTGTGTCTTCAAAGCTAAAGTGAGTCTCTCTGTAGGAAGCTTATAGTTGGGTCTTGTTAACCCATTACAGTTTACATATATTTTTGTGTATCTGAGGACAGATTATTGTAGTTGAAATTATTTTTAGTACTTTTTTCTACTTTTAAATTAGAGTTGTAAGTGATTTATGTGCCACCATTACCATATTGCACTCTTGAGTATAAATTTACGTGTACTAGTGAGCGTCACTCTGCCTTCGTGTTTATTTTCACTCACAAAACTCCTGTAAGCATTTGCTGTTAGGCAGGTCTAGTGCTGATGAACTCCCTCCACTTTTGTTTGTTTGGGAGAGTCTTTATCTCCCCTCATTTCTGAAGAACAGTTTTGCTGATATAGAAATCTTGGTTGATAGGTTTTTTTCTTTTGTTATAATATCCTATGGTAATTATAATTCAGTAAGTAAATTAAGAAAATGTTTAGTAGTTAAAAAATCTTTTGATTATATCATTTCATCCTCTCCTGGCCTGAAAAGTTTCTCTTGAGAAATCTCTTCATATTGGGCTGAAGGGTTCCTTTGTATGTAACTAGTCTCTTTCACTACGTTCAAAATTCTTTGTCTTTGAACAATTATGTGTCTTGGTGTAGATCTACTTGGGTTCAACTTATTTGGGGTCCTTTGGTCTCATGGATTTGGATATCCATTTCTCCCCCCAGGTTTGAGACATTTTCAGCCATTACTGTTTTAAATATACTTTGTGTCCCTTTCTCTTTTATCCTGTAATTCCAGCAGTGTAGATACTGTTTCTCCTGATTGTGTTCCACAAGTCCCTTTGACTTTCTTTCTTCTTTCTCATTCTTTTTTTGTTGTTGCTTTTTCTTCTTCTCTTACTGGATAGTTTCAAATGTCTTTGTTTCTCTGCATTGTCAAGTCTATTTTTGACCCTCTCTATTAAGATTTTTGTTTTGTGATTGTGTTTTTCACTTCTAAGTTTTTTTCTTTATGGTTTCTGTTTGTTTGTTCCATGTGTTGTTTTCCTAATTTCATTTAGTTATCTTTGTGTTGTTGTGGTTCACTAAACTTCAATAGGGTTATTTGGAATTCTCTGATAGTTCATAGGTACCACATTTCTTTAGGGTCAGTTATTGAAGCTTTATTAGCTCCCTTAGGTGCCATGAAATTAAAAGACTTTTACTCCTTGGAAGAAAAGTTATGACCAAGCTAGACAGCATATTAAAAAGCAGAGACACTGCCAACAAAAGTCTATCTAGTCAAGGCTATGGTTTTTCCAGTAGTCATCTATGGATGTGAGAGCTGGACTATAAAGAAAGCTGAGCATCGAAGAATTGATGCTTTTGAACTGTGGTGTTGGAGAAGACTCTTGAGAGTCCCTTGGACTACAAGGAGATCCAATCAGTCAATCCTAAAGGAAATCAGTCCTGAATATTCATTGGAAGGACTGATGCTGAAGCTGAAACTCCAGTCCTTTGGCCACCTGATGGGAAGAGCTGACTCATTGGAAAAGACCCTGATGCTGGGAAAGATTGAGGGCAGGAGGAGAAGGGGATGACAGAGGATGAGATGGTTGGAGGGCATCACCGACTCAATGGACATGAGTTTCAGTAAACTCCAGGAGTTGGTAATGGACAGGGAGGCTTGGTGTGCTGCAGTCCATGGGGTCGCAAATAGTCAGACACGACTGAGCGACTGAACTGAACTAGGTGGTGTCACATTTGCCTGCTGTTTTGTGATTTCAGGCTCCAGAACCATCAAGAATGACTCCAGGAAAAGGCAGTTGACAGGAGAGCTCTGCAGATGCACTTCCTCTTCTCCATCCCTCCCTTCTTATTACTGTATTTCTTTGAATCTAAGGTGCCAGGCGTTAAGTATATCCTGATTTCAGAAATGAAAAAGTAACAAAATCATTTCTAAGAATACAAAATGTGTTGTGGTACAGCCTCAGCAACCCTCCGCCCTCGGTTGGGAGCCCCATCAACCTGATCTGGTTTGGCTGCAGTTACTCAACGCGGCTGACTGTCTTCAGCCACATTGAGACTCCCTGCAGCTGATGGGAGAACGCGCTGTGCAGATGCACAGATAAGGGGACGTGAGCCAGCTTCTCTGCTGAAGTGTCAGTTTCACGGCCACCGGGTGACACAGCTGTGACCTGTGTATTCACTGCATCAGATCTGAGCTTCTCTTAACCTTCCATTAGGTTCCAGGAGCGAGTTTCCGAGGCTGGAAAGAAGTGACTTCTCTATTTAACAAGGATGATGAGCAGCAGCTGCTGGAAGGACGAAAATCCCCCAAGTCCAGAGCGTGAGTAGCCACTGTCCGGGGAGCGGGCATCCCAGAGACGGAGGGCAGGGCCATGAGAGGGGACGAGAGGGGCTTCCTCCCTTGTGAGGAGATGGAAATGCGTTGTTCTAAGTGTAAGCACTTTGAAAGACTATAGAAAAATGGAAAAGAATTTTAAAAAGCTTCCCAGACCAGGTCTTGACCTTCCAGCTGTAAACTGAACTTACAAGCCTTAAAGCAGATGGTAGCCACATGTTTAAGGTGGGCAGATGGCTGTTGCTCCAGAGAATCAAGGAAAAACCCAGTTAAAAATGCAAAGATTGACTGTAAACTATACTTACTGTGCTGACAGTGCTGCTAGTTTATTATAAACATTTTGAATTTAAAAATTACATACTTAGGGAATTCCCTGGTAGTCCCGTGGTTAAAACTTGGCACTTTCACTCCTGTGGGCCTGGGCTTGATCCCTGGTGGGTGAACTAACATCTCACAAGTCGTGTGGCATGGCCAACAAAAAAATGTAGTTAAAGATGAAAATATAAATTGAAATTTGAAAATATAAATGGTGTGGCCAACAGCGGGTGAATCCTGAGATATCTGACCATAGGGAGGCTGCTCCTCTGTAGACAGGGCACCTTGGCAGCACTCAGGACCCATCAGAGCCAGCCAGTCCCCCTTCTCTGACCACGTGACTGTGGCCTCCCCACCCAGTCTTTAAGGACTGTGTCAGTCAGTCCTCTGGGCTGTCTGGGTGGCAGCTGACAGGCCAGCGTCTCCCAGGGGCCTTGAACCTGTGCCTGTATTCTGCCCCTCGGTCCAGTTAAGCAGGACTTGGAAGGTTGGGCCTGTGTCTTGGGGATGCTCTCGGCAGCCTGGCCAGGGGGCCCGTGGCCAGGGCGCTGTGTCGTTTCTGGGGACCCACCTCCAGTTAGCTGCGTTTTCCTCAGGGCCACAGTGCTGTGAACTCTGAACATCTGAGGCTGCAGCTGAGTAAACCTGTGGCAGATCGACTTGGTACCAGGAATAATCTGTTTCTGAACCTGGGATCTGGGGCCTGTTTTCTCCTGTCTTCAGAGACAAGCTCGGCCTTCTGTGCGCCTTGAGACAGCCTTGTCTTCTGTCTTCTCTCTGAGGCTGACTTTGCTCGAGTTTAAATATGGCATTCACAGATTTTATTAATCACGTGTACTGACTGACTTTTCCATATTAATATTCAGGTTCTACATGTGTATCTGTTTGAGTTTAAGTTATAAATACAACTTGACACCCTAAGATGACTGATCACCAACACTTAACTCTTTTGTCTCCTGTAGCACTAACTTACGATTAAAAGAAGAGTTGAAGACAGAGAAGAAGTCTGGATTTTGGGACAATTTGGTTTTGAAACAGAACATACAGTCTAAGAAACCAGATGAGATAGAAGGTTGGGAACCTCCAAAACTTGCCCTTGAAGACGTGGCAGCAGACTCGGGCGGCCCTGTGAGTGACCGTGTGTCTCGGCCGGGCTGGCAGGAGGATGCCAAGGGCTCTACCAAGTACACCAGCCTGGCCAGTGCAGGGAGCAGCTCGCGCTGGAGCCTCAGGTCGGCCGGGAAGCTGGTCAGCATCCGCCGGCAGAGCAGAGGCCACCTGACGGACGACTGGGAGGAGCTGGAGTGACCGCCCAGCCCCCAAATGTCCTCACACCAAAACCTGCCTGATCGTGCACCTTTGTATCTCATCTCCTTCACATTCCTAGAGTCTGCAGTATCGTGGTGTTTATTAGTATAGTGTCCTGTTTGGTCTTTCCCAGATGAAAGTCACAGAGAACCTGCTCTGTGCTGTTTCATTTGGCTTTCCTCTTCAAATGCCAAGTGAGGAAATGCCAGGCGTCCTGTGATTTCTCAGTGGGCACGCACAGGGTCCACCTGTCACCCGTGTGTTGCTGACCTTAGGTGGGAAGTTCACTGCAGTGGGGATTTGCTGTTTGCCACAAAACTGTCTTTCTGTGTCCTGAGTTGCGGTTCTGTGTTCTGTGACTTGATCCCTGTCTCTGCATGTAGCACATACCTGTAATATATGACTCAAGAATGTAGCAGCCACACACTTCTTTTCTGTTACCAGAAACCTGCAATCCAGGTGTAACGTGAATCTTCCAAAGGTCACGTCACATTGTGCTCACTCTTCTTTTGTATTAAACCATAAAATATGCAAGCAAATTAAACGCTGGCGAAGTGAAGGCTGTATCATCCCCAGAAATACACTGTCTGCAAACACAGCTTCACCTCCCACAAGCGTATTAGATGGTGACAGTGTTCCCATCTTGAGGTTCTTGAACTTTTAAATACTGATGTTTCTTTTCTTCTAAAAGTTTGTTCTCTTATTTTGATTGCAGACTAAAGAATGCTATAAAGCATGGATCAGTTTTAATAACTTGACACTTAAATTTGTTTGGAAAATATTAACTTGCTTGTTAGAGTTGAAATTGTAGGTAAAATGCTGAAAGTGCCTCTTTTCTGTAACACCCAGGGTTTTGTTTTTTCAAATGAGACTGTTGGACCCTGAGAAGCTATGTGTTGTCGCTGGTTCAGGAGCATCACTGAGCATCTCTTGTGTCTCCGAACTTGCTTGTTGACTCCTTGACAGATGGGCTCCAGGTCAGGTACGCAGCACGTGTGTCCTCAGCAAGACAGACCCAACTCACAGGAGGACCACGTGTTTCTGAGATCAGAACAGGTGTAGGGGTTTCTGATTAAAAAGAAAAACTTCCAGTTACACTGTGCATTCCTCTCTTGTGAAAGCCACTGTCTTCAAGGTATTCAGTGAGCAGTTCCGTGCTATTCCACACCAGAGGTGTCATTTAGTGTTTCTGTGGACCCCAAGGGGTGATGGGGGTGACAGAATGCCTGCCTGTCACCTGCTATTTCTCGGTCCATCAGTCTGTGGACACCCTGTCATCTGACTACCAGCCGTCTAGCCACAGTCTCCATGCGTCATCTAACCATCTGTGTCTGTCATCTGTGTAGCGTCTGTCAAAATCACCTAATGTCCTTCTCTTTCTAATAGACAAGTTTACTTCACCGAGCCTTGAAAGGGGGACATGTGAGTGGTGGTAAAATCTTATTTGTGTTAGAACCTTGAAGTGGTTAATAGCGGAGTTGAAAACCGTGTTTCCTCAGGTAAACAGTTCAGCTCATTGACTGGAGTCCTCCTCCCTAGAGACACTTGCTGTGACTGAGATGAGCTATCTGAAGCAGGAGCTTCGGGCTCATCTTCGGCTAATCCTGTGATGAGGTGCAGGGAAGGGACTGTGTGTTTGAGGTTCTGGGCAGAGAGCGTGGGGTGGGGGGCGGGCGGGGCAGGTGGGACAGCCCCCACCTCGGGGAGCCTGTGCCAGTGTGCTGTGATGCTAAGTGCCTGCGACCCCCTTGGGGACACACGTGATGCACAGCTGGCAGAATGGCCCCTCACACCCCTCATTCCTCACAGCCGAATGCAAGCCAGAGTGGGGTTGGATTATGCACGTGAATAATACTTTTCTTATCTACAAACATTAATGTAAAAATGAATTTTTCTTCTGTTGTATCTGATTAAAATAACTGTGGATTTTAATATAAATATTTATTGGTGTGCTTTGGGGGAAAGATATTTTTTTCTTGATGGAATTTACCAAAGCGACTTTATTTTGTTCACTGGCTGATGAGAGAGTGGGTCTGTCCAAATTCTGTAAACTGCACAGCTTCTCTGAAGAGTGAAGTATCTGCTCTTCTGACTGTTGTTTTGTCATTAACAGGAAAGTGATTGGTTTTAAAGAAAGTTGAATTCATCCGTAATGCTGAAGTTTTTTAAAAATAAAAACATGGTTTATATCCTGTTAGTTTGCACAGTTATTGACATCCGCTTCTGACGACTTAAGCTGATGACATATTCTCAACACTTTCAGTGTCTTTCAAGATGCCAACGAAATGTGTAGATTCATGGATAAATGACCAGCTTCAACCTCAGTCATCAGGATGTAGCTTTTACATATGGGATGCTGTTCGGAGTAATAGGCGCTGCCAGCTATGGGGTCACACAGAGTCAGACATGACTGAAGCGACTTACCAGCAGCAGTGTCCCACGTCTGAGCCACCCGCCCTGGGCCCTGCTTTTTTCCAGTCACTTGAGGAGGAGGAGCCTGAAGCAAGCCTCCCCTTCAGCCGCCAGCCTGAGTAGGTTCTTAATCATCTTTTAAGGTTTCATCTCTTCTTTCCAAACAGTGGCTTCTTGGAAAGAAACCCTGACTCCCATTAGGACCTGGGTAGCACCTGCGGTGCCATCTCGAGCCAGGCAATGCGCGCGTCCCACCAGCCTCCTTCCCAGTGGGGTGTGTCCCGGGCAGCCTTGTCCTCGCCAGTCTCACGGCCTGTGCCCTCCTCCCAGTCCAGCTCTGCACTCCCCCCTGGGGGCCTCCGGCTCTGTGGTGGCCTCAGACCCCCACCCTCGAGTTCTCACTCACTTCACCAGATACTTCGGATTCTTGTACAGGTAAAGGACCTTCTCTTCTCTCTCCCAGTTTACTTCTAGCCATATAGCTTCTTTCCAGATTTTATGGTTAAGTCTCAGTTGATACTTGACTGAACCAAAGATAGGCAGGACACTATAATAAGCTTTAAGACAGGAACTGGCTAAAATTTTTGTAACTGATAAAATAGCCCAAAGGGGGTGCAGATGGTGCTGAGTGACTGACCAAGGGAGCGGCTGCCACTTGCCTTCTGGCAGAAGTGTGGTTCTGGTGGTGGGTGTGAGGCAAGGCACCCTCTGAGGGGCTTCCGTGGCACCATGCCCCAAAGACAGATACCACCGCTTCCTGTAGTTGCTGCATCGCCACGAGTGTCTGAGGGGCCTGCAGCCTGCACGGGATGCCGTCCTGGTGAGTGTGCGTCCCCACAGCTGTGTTCTTCAGTCTGTAATTGTGCTGCGCCCCATCCTGTCCCAGCCCAATCCAGTTGCTGCAGGCCAGCTGCCAGACTGTTCAGCCAGTTGAATGCACTTGTTTTCTGAAATAGCACTACTCTAACCTAAATGTTTTTCAGTTCATATTGTGAAGAGTCTGTGCTCCCAAAGGACACAATCAATAGAGTGAAAAAGGCAACCTAGGGAATCTGAACATTTTCAAGTCATCTAGCTGATAAGGGCTTAAGTGTCCAGAGCTGGAGTAGTTCCTTCTACATTCAACAAGAAAACTACACACAACTCAATTAAAAGGCAGGCAAGTCCTTGAACAAGCATAGGAAAAGATGCTCAACATCACTCCACGACAGAGAAATGCAAATCAAAGGCACAGTGAAATACCACCTTCCACCCATTTGGATGATGACTATCAAACCAAAAACTCAACTCCACAGCCCAACAAGTGTTGGCAAGAAATGGAACTATTCCATACTATCAAAGGCAGCACCATTTTACATTCCCACCATGGAAAATAGTATGGTGGTTCTTCAAAATATTAAACATGTATTTACCACACGGTCCTGCAGTTCCACTTGTGGGTATGTCTCCCAAGAGAGACTTGTATAGCATGTTCACAGCAGCTCAAAGTAGGGAGCACCTCCACATCAGCAGGTGACGAAGCAGCAGAATGTGAAGGGCAGGTACGCCAAGGGAGGGGAAGCCTAAGCCATGCTACAACGTGGATGAGACAGATACTAAAAGATTCCAATTATGCAGCGTGTCTTCAGCAGTCCGATCCAGAGAAACAAACTAAAACCCCCAAGTGCAAGGCTGGTTCAGCCAACAAGTCAACATGTGACCACCTCTGTGGATGCAGAAAGGGAACTCAACAAAACCCAACACCCTTTCATGTGAAACACCCCCAAGAAGATGAGGCTGGAAGGGAGCACCTCACCCTGAGGCGCCTAGAGACACCCAGCTCGCAGCACACCCACAGGTGAAGGACAGACAGGCCCCAGAGACCGCCATCCACACCCATGGGGATCTGGTGGGAAAGCTGGCGAGGAAGGAAAAAAAGGGTATCCCACTGAAAGAAGGTGATGAGCCCCTTTCATGTGCAGACCTCACAATGTACATCTGCATCCCATGGAGTCTACAAAATACCACTAGATCCATTTAGTGATTTCAGCAAAGTTAAGAGGACTTCCCTGGTGGCTCAAATGGTAAAGCATCTGGCTACCATGGCGGAGACCCGGGTTCAATCCCTGGGTTGGGAAGATCTCCTAGAGAAGGAAATGGCAACCCACTCCAGTACTCTTGCCTGGAAAATCTCGTGGACAGAGGAGCCTGGTAGGCTAGAGTCCACGGGGTCACAAAGAATTGGACACAACTGAGCAACTTTCTTTCTTTCTTTCTTAAGAGGATACAGAATCAGTGTACAAACACCCACATCTTGTTTGTGTATGATTCTAAAAGTGACATTTACAGCAAAGCTAACACCAAACCCTTCAATACTGTCCTGAAAGGAGATGTGGTTCTCTGTGGACAGCCCTGAGCACACACAGCCGACTCCGTGACACCCAAAAGCAGCTCCTGTGTGGGCTGCAGAACCTACCGTGGCTCCTCCTGACCCACAAGTCACAACCTGGGTGGGAAAATGTACCTCATTGCCAGGGCAGACACCATGCATGTGCTGACAGCGCTTCCTGGAGGCAGGGCTTCCCAAGGGTGCTGCGGGTCCCCTGCAGCTGTCCAGCGAGCACAGGGGGCATGCAGGTGCCACATCATGGGCAGGGAACCACGCTCTGGAATGCCACAAAAACCTGCGGCTCAGGACAGCGCCCCTCTTCCTGATCCATGCCGTTTGATCATCGGGAAGCGACCGGTCGGGGCCCAGGGACTGTGTGCATGGTCTCTCTGCCCCTCCCCCACTGTACCCCAGTCACATCCCCGCTCTGCACAACTGCTCTAAGCCCTGCCGACGCCTGTACGTGGGTTCCGGTCCAAGCACATATGCTGCCTGTGGAGATGGGCTGATTAATGGGGAACAGCTACACACATCTCCCAAGACTTTCATGTTGTTGAGAGGGAAGAACTCACGTCAAGAGGTTAATGTCTTAAGAAATTAACACAAAAAAGACCAATACCCCAAAAATAAACACACATTAGGTAATTTGCCAAAAGTAAGACAGAACAGAAATAAAAGCAACCAGCAAGCTTTCAGGAGAAACGCCCCCCCTCACAGCCTCTTCACGCATCCATCTTCAGGGGAGGAAGATGCCACCAACCGCTCTCGCCACTGCTCTGGGAATGTCCCTGCAGATTTCTGACTTGCTTCTTGTTTGATGTGAGGAGAGCATCATCAGATGGATGTAAGCACCTGTGTGGTGGTGTTGATCACAGAGTGATTCTTTTGAGCTGCATGGTACCGTGTCACCAATAAAAACCGTATTTCCACAAACTCTTGTGAAAAAAGATCTGGTTGTAAAATGAGAACACTATATATGCCGTTGATGGTTTTATGAAAAGCTTCCACCTGATTCACACACAGGGAAACTATCATCTGACAATTAAGCATAGTTCTGGCTGCACCAGTTTGGCACAGGATGTGTGCTGAAAGCAGAGACTATTTACAAATATGCAGGACTGCACATTTCCATCTGCTAAGAAGCAGGAGGCAGAAATGACTGGGCTTGGGCTCCCTGACCCTCTTCACTTCTCCCCTGCGTCTGCAGGGGCCATTCCAACGTGCTTTCTGGCAAGCACAGCTGTTCTGGGTGCCAGGGTTACACACCAGTTTTATTCTTTTATAAACCTTTATTTTCAAAATTTTCTAAAATGTACATGCAATATTTTTAAAATAAAATGATCTTTGAGAGGTTTCAATAAACAATTATCAAAATCATTGACACTACTTTTTTTCAGTAAGATGCAAAATTGACAAAGTTAAAATAGGTAGACAAACATGATTTATTATTCTGCTAGAAGAGGATTCCAAGCAGTGTGGTACAGGCCACACCAGGCTCCCCCAGGTCAGGGCCCTGCCGGTCAGCGTTGGGCATGAGGCCCAGGACCACAGCCCCAGACTCAGGCCCTCATGGGTCTCAGCCATCTGCACAATTCACAACCCACTGCTGAGCATCCAGGAGACAGGCACATACTTCCCTGGATCCTTCTGTATCTCAGAAGACTCGTGCAGACACAACCAATACAGTTAATATACATCTTAAGAAAAATAAATATTCTGTACAATGTCATTACAAGGATCAGTGATCTACCCTCACCCCAATCACTACAAAATCGGGAAACCATCATTTGAGTTAAGAGGCATAGTCTTCTTGGTTGTTAGTGTCACTTCAGCACAGGATGTAGTGCTGAAAACACTTTTTGAACCATATTTACAAATACACAAAGTTCCAAATTTTAATGTGCTTAGAATTTTTTAAAGAGAGAAGCAGAAATGATTTTGCCGGGGCTCCCTGACCTGGTTTCAGCGGTGGAAACCACAGGCCCTTCCACGTCCTCCAGCGCAGGCTCCAGGTCACGGGGGGCCCGGCCAGGCCCTCAGTACTTGAAAAGGTCGATGAAGTGCTGCGGGGACACAGGCGTGAAGCAGCTGTCGGGGTCGGCGGCCGTGCAGGGGTGGCCCGAGTCCTGCGAGAGACCAGGGCGTTACCGCGCGCGCCGGCAGGGGAGACAGCTCAGAAGCCACCAGGCCTTCACTTAGATGCACCTGGACCCCACCGCACACGTGTGCGGACAGCAGGCGAGAATCAGGAACACGGGGCTGCTTGGCGGGGACAGTCCCCGTGCCAGTGCATGGGGGACAGGGCGGCCCTGAGTCTGGGGGCCGGGAGGAGCCCACGCTTCCCTGCTCCCCAGCCCCGACCCCGTCCTGGTCACGCTGCCCCCTCCACCCACGGTGGGCCAGGATCCACTCTGGAACTGCGCCGGGCACCACCCACCCACGTTCCCCCAAGGGCCCAGCACCACGTCCCCCGGCAGAAACACCCAGGGCTCGCTTGTGTCAGAACAGCCTCGGGACCTGGGGGCCAGTTAGGCCAGTGTCTGGAGACAGGACGCCCCCCCCCCCACCCCCGGCCAAGCCTACACCCTCCCTCTGGTCTAAAGGCAGCTCGCAGGACCCTGATGGTGGCCAAGTAGGAAGGCCAGTCACGTCAGCAGAGGCCGTGGCCTCATCGGCCCAGCCCCCCGGGGACGCACACAGACTCAGGCAGAGAGGAGGTACCTCGAGTAATAAAGCAAGGCGGCAGTCCTGGAGGTGGCGGAGGAGGAGAGCAGTGAAGGGAGGAAAAAAGGGAAAACAGGGTTAGGAAGAGCCAGGCCACACCAGGACTCAGGCTGAACATGAATCATTTATGGAAACGACCAACATCACTGGGCAGTGAACAGGGGAGAGCTGCCCCCGGGGCCCCATGCGCAGCCGGAAGCCAGAGGACCCGCAGGCCATCTGGGACCCGACGTGGCTTCTACCTCCTCCAGCCTCGGGCCCACAGCTGGTGAGACAGCAGGGCTAAGTGACCGTCATGACTTCACTGAGAACACGCAGAGCTGCACAGCAGCTCACACTGGGAACATTCCCAGCAGGTTTCCCTGAAGCCCACTCACTCCCTCTACAGTCTGAGCCAGCTCGGGGGAAGTAAGTGAAGGATGCAGGTTCCCCAGGAGCCGGCTCCTTCCTGCTCACCCACGGTTTCCAAGTCAAGGTCAGCACAACCTGCCCCTCTCACCACCTGCTGGCTGCCCCACCCTCGCCACAGCCCGGGGGACCGCAGGGCTCGCTGTCAGCACAGCCGGGACCCGTGGCCTCCCGGCCCCCCCTGCACGCCTGCAGTGTGGACCTGGCAGTGGACACATGGAGACCAAAAAAGACACACAGTCGCGATCGCTGCCTTTGACTGGATTCATTCTGTCTGGCTTCCAGCCCACTCAACACCTGGTTTTAGCTGAAGTTCCCTGAAAAACAGCTAGAGGACAGCAGGGTGGGGGGAGCACAGCGGTCTCACAGGAGGGCCACCCCACGGAAGGCAGACACCTGAGCTGGGCCTGCGGGCACACAGGTGACTCAACCACTCCACGACCTCCTTTCACCTTGCCGACATTCCCCCAAAGGAAAGTAGAAAAACTGACAGTATCCAGAGAGTGAAGCCAGGTCAGACAGGATGGCCGGGGGCAGCTGGGGCGGTGGCATGAGCTCGCGGCAGAGCCACAGCCTGTGTGTGAGGAAGAGGACGGGTCCGGTGGGACGCGGGCAGCATCGGCACAGTGGGGTATCGCCCCACCATGCAGCCTCCACGCAGCAGGCCTGCCCTCGCAGAGGCTCCAGAAACCAGGCTGAGGCCTGCGGGGGCCAAGCTGTGTCGGGGGGATTGGGGTGGGGGCGGTGGCCATACACTCACGGCATCTTAAGGTAAGAGATTTACCGTGGTTGATTCTTTGCACTAAGGAAAGGGATTTTCTCAAGGTGTGGGGGCGGTGGCCAGCCGGGGGGCTTGCTCAGGAGCCGACACAGGCAGCCGGGTCCACCACAAATTCCAGACACTCATCTTTTCTTTCATTTTCCACCCACAGACTCAGAAGAAAGTGGAATGGCCTCTAGAAGAAAAACCTGCTCTGTGACCTCACAGATGGACGGAGCCAGTCCCCAAGGCTGCACAGAGGTCAAGGCGCTCAGCCTTCAAGGCAAGACTGTGAACAACATTTCAGAGCCCAAAGACCAGCAAGACACTTGTTCTGAATTTTCGTAAACAAAAGAATCTGTAGGCAAATTCTTCTGGAAACCTAAAAAAATCACCTCTCAATTTTTAAACACCCAGAACATCCCTATTTCTTGATACTTCACCTGAACATTCTGTACGCCAACACAGAAAGTAGCAAGGGTGTTTCTCGGTTCAGTACATCAGAGACAGTGTTCTCGAACAGTCTAATGCCACATGCAAAGTCAGAGACTTCTGTCCCGGGGGACACACCACTGCTCCCAGTGTCTCTGGAATAAGCCATCTGCTCGGGGGAAGCGTCGTTCAGAGCAGTGACCAGATCATCTCATCCGCTGACTCTGCCCTGAGCTGCCACATGTCTGGGACCACCCTGTGTGCTGTGGCCCCGGGGCTGATTGGTTCACCCGTGTCCCACTAGCACCCTGGCAAGACTGAGCATGAGGTGCCCCTGGCCTGGAGGAACAGGTTCACAGAACCACCACTGCAGCCATACAACACCTTTCCTCTTGTTAACTGTGCAGAACAAGCCGTGCCAGACTCCAAAACAAGTCAGAAATGACATGGTCTCCGGCTGGCCCCCACAGCACCAGCAGTAAAGCCTTGTTGACATGGGGACTCCCACTGTACAACCACAGGGGTACAGGCAAAAAAACCACATTATCATGTAAATAACCTGAAATGAAAACAATTTAAAGTATACATTTGTTTTTCAGCAGTTTAGTTTGCCACATAATCCAGTCAACAAATTACAGATAACAGAAAACAAAAAACAGCCACGGTGCTTCAGACCAGGCAGAAGGCACGCGGTCCTATGACCCCACAGGAGGACACGGAGTGGCAGGGCAGACTGCCTGTCACCCTTCTCCCCAGTCAAACTTCACAACGTTAAACAGACTCAGACTCAAGGCAAACTACGGAAATGGTCTTTCTAAGAGGAGGTGAACAGAAGCACCTGTCCCTCCCCTAGAAACTTGTTTTCATCAGAGCCTGGACGGGAGAGGAAGGGACCAGAGAGGAAGAGGATGGGCCTGACAGCTGCGGACACAGCTCAGTCTCCACAAGGACCAGACATGCTGTTCGGGCCAAAAAAACAGGAGGAGCCTGGGCGCCGTCATGGGCCTCTCCTCTGCTCCAGGGCTGTGCTGTGAGGAGAAGCCCCTGGAGGCACCACTGCTGGGGGTCCCGACAGTGAGCTGAGGCCAAGTGTGGAGACTGAAGGCTGGGGGTGGCCTCCCTTGACTTCCAGAAGAGGTGGGGATCCTGACCCTCCTCTCAGCTGAGCCATGAGAACGGGGGAAGCAGCCCGCCAGGACTCGGGCCGCAGCCCAGGCAGCATGCTCACTGCCTGGGGGACAGGTCCTGCCCTACCATCCTGCACCAGAAACAGTGGGTGGCCCCACATTCAGGTCCAACCACGGTTCTGCTTTGGTGAACTTGCCCCTGGCCCCAGTCCCTGGTGAGACGCCATCATGTCATCACACTCTACACTCGGGCGGACAGTCCCTGGTGAGACGCCATCACGGTATCACACTCTACACTCGGGCGGACAGTCCCTGGTGAGACGCCATCACGGTATCACACTCTACACTCGGGTGGACATTCCTGGTGACACGCCATCATGTTTTCACACTCTACACTCTATACTCGGGTGGACATTCCTGGTGACACGCCATCATGTTATCACACTCTACACTCTACACTCGGGTGGACATTCCTGGTGAGACACCATCATGTTATCACACTCTACACTTGGGTGGACATTCCTGGTGACACGCCATCATGTTTTCACACTCTACACTCTATACTCGGGTGGACATTCCTGGTGAGACGCCATCATGTTTTCACACTCTACACTCTATACTTGGGTGGACATTCCTGGTGAGACGCCATCATGATATCACACTCTACACTCTACACTTGGGTGACAGTCCCTGGTGAGACGCCATCATGTCTTCACACTCTACACTCAGGTGGACATCCCTGGTGAGACGCCATCGTGTCATCACACTCTACACTCACCTGGACAGCCTCTCTCTCCAGGAGCACAGGTGCCCTCCTTACCTTCCAGAAGAGGATGCTGCAGTGCCGGCAGAAGTGCAGGGTGTCTCCGTACTGCTCCTTGGTGGGGTAGTGCTTCTGAAGCGCAAAGTACATCAGCTTCCACTCCACATGACCTTTTTCTGAAAGGATCAAGTGTCTACAAAACTAGACAAACAGACTTCTGTTCAGAATCAGATGACTTTCGTAGCAGTGTCATGTGCACAACAACTTTAAAAGGCAACACACTGCAGGAAACATTCAATTATCTGAAATTAAATTCGAGCTGAATCTAGATAATGGAATACCATGCAGCTGTTCAACAGACTTAAAGGTTTTTATCTGGACTGATGTCCATGATGTCTACTAAGTTAGAAATAAGTTACATGTATCATGTCTGACAGGGACTTGTCACCAGAACGCAGAAAGTATCCAAATACAACATGGCCAAAGCATTTGGAAAGACACACAAACAGACAAACAAGCACACGAAAAGATGCTCAGCGTCTTGGGCCCCAGAGACGGCAGGAGGTGGCACCTCACACCCTGCAGGGCAGCGACCACACCCTTGGAGGAACAGGCATGGATGGCATGCTGAGCAGGCGGACCTGGGCATAGCCAGGGGCTGCCCGACGCAGCAGCATCTTCACGGTTCCTCACAATGTTACCCTCTGCTCGTGACCCCATGCCCCCAGGAGAAGGCGACCATGGTGGCCCCGCAGCCTGGCTGTGCCCAACCTCTCACCCTCTGATTCAGGCGGGAACCTGCTCGCTGCCCCCACCACCTTTCTCCTGGATAGGTACGTGACCCCTCAGGTCTGCGAGCCTGTGTCTGAGAAGACACATGACATCTGGCCCTCCCTGGGGCCTCCCTGGGGCAAGGCTGTCTGCTTTGGCCCCGCACACTGCTGCGTGTATCATGGACACCCAGCTGGCGGTGCTGCGCTGCAGAAACCACACAGGGCGGGGGTGGCAGGGAGGGGCAGCGATAACCGGGAGACACACAGCATCCGCCGGAACCCAAGGCTGGCCCCGTCCTGGGAGGGCAAGGTGCAGGGAGCAGGCGCCTACCCCTGAGTCTCGAGGGGACACGCCGCCTGGAGAGGGGCCTCCAGTTACAGCAAAGACTAACGGCCTGTCCTTGACAGGAAGAAACTGCCCTGGTTCTGCTGCTCTGTTCTGGGCCGTTTTTGAAATTAGGGCTTTCTCCACATGGAAAGCAAGCTTTCCCGTAGTGATTCCAGTCCACTCCCTGAAGCGGCCAGGCTCGGCCATCAGGGCCACAGCCCCCACTCACCTGCTTCTCCCCAAAGTGGTACTGGCAGAGCTTCTTCCACAGCTGCCGGTCCTCGCTGAGGGCGAACAGTGTCGGGGTCACCTGGCCCAGGGTGACGATGTCCCAGCCGTCCGAGAACCTGTGCAGGATGTTGCTGAGCATGTGCACAGGGAGGTCGCTGAGCGTCAGGCCGCTGTCCACCTGCTGGGAGGGCCCCACACTCACTCCAGCGGCAACGCAGGAGCGCGTCGGGCACAGCGACGTCTGCTGCCTCCCCACTCCCCCCAGAGGACACCCTGCGGCGGCCCTGGCTGCACCCGGGGCCCCGGACACCGACACCCTAGCCCCCGAGTGCGCTGGGTGACCTGGCGTCACTGCACATCGGGGACTCGGGGACAGTGGCACCTGGGCCAGGTCTGGAAAGCAGACACGCCCCACATGTTAAGTGTCTTACAGGCGAGTGGCCCTGACAGCACAAGCCCCTGACCATGGGAATGAGGCTGCCTGGACACAGACTATCAGATCATTCCTGCTAACCGCAGGGCCTTAACTAGGGAATCACCACTCCTATAAATCCCGCATTTACATGGCAAATACATGGCCCAAGGTCACCTCTGAACCCAACCAGAGATAAACCACCCACAACCTAAGACACTTCAGTGAATGGGGTCAACATTTCCCTTGGTGAAACCAGTTATCAGAATCAACATAAAACATCAAAGACAGCAAGAAGTGGAGATGAAAACACCAACCCTGAGAAGCAACAGCAGGTGAACAGAGTCACTACTATATGGTGCCGCTTTAATTTACCGAATGTTATTCCAGCCTAAAATAGCTAATCTGCTGTCAAGGCAAATTAATTTACCACCTCATCACCCATAGGACCAGCTGTTTTTAATAATTACCATCCCCACTGTCTTTCCAGTGACACCTATAAGCCATTATAGAGTCTTTAGGCCTGAACCCATCTTACGACCGTTTAATACGTATTCACGAAATAAAAAGAGAAAAAAACCTCTGGAAGAGCTGTGACAGTCTTCCACATACACTTAGAAGTAGCAATGGCTTCTGTGATGTAACAGCAGAGACGACTCACTTGCAGTCCAGAAAGCACATACCTCAGTCATCTGAAGATTCTGCAGCTGCTGCTGCCAGCGGAGAACAGTCTCTAATCGGCAAATCCAGATGTTGATGTTTCCCACCAGCACGGACTTCCCCACTCCTCGGATCAGAATGCACAGGGTGGAGCTGAGGTCTTGGAGAAGATCCTTGATCAGGCGAGGGTTTTGGTGGTCACCAAGAACTGGAATAAACAAAAATGAAACAATGCAACAATACAGTCAGCCCCCACTGTTAAAAATGACCTGCTTTCGGGCTTCTCTGGGGGCTCAGTGAAGAATCCACCTGTCAATGCAGGAGAGCCACGGTTTGCTCCTGGATCCAGGAAGATTCCACATGCCTCAAAATAACTAAGCCTGTGAGCCACAACTATTAAGCCCGTGCTCCAGAGCCTGGAAGCCACAACTACTGAGCCCATGAGCTGCAACTTCTGAGGCCTGAGAGCCCTAGAGCCTGCACTCCCCAACAGATGCCGCCACGATGAGAAGCCCATGCACCACAACTGAAGAGGAGCCCCCACTCTCTGCAACCAGAGAAAAGCCTGTGCAGCGACGAGGACCTGGCACAGCCAAAAATAAACAAATAAGTCAAACGATTTCTAACGTGACCTGCTTTCACAACCCAAGGGCTTCTCAGCAGATGCCACAGGTAAACAGAATGTGATTTATACACACAATGGAATATTACTCAGCCTTAAACAGGACAGAAATTCTGACATGTGTCACATGAGACCTGAAGACCTTATGATAAGAACAAGTCACAAAGGGACAAGTGTTGTCTGATGCTCCTAATATGAGGTCCTTGGAATCAGTCACATTCACAGAGAGTAGATGGTGGGTGCAGGGGAGGTGGGATTAGTGTGTGGGGGGACGGTGTATCAGTTCTGCCGACAGCGTGTCACCACTGTGGTAGGGACAGCTGCTGTGATGTGACTATGCTCAGTGCCACAAAGCTGTGCACTCAAGATGCACAGGAAAGATGGTGTTTTATGTACATTACACCACAAAGAGAAAATAATGATTTAATTTCACTGCATATCCAAAGTGACATCATTTTTGAGTTATCACAAGTATGATGAGATTCGAAAACTTCCAATTGAAAACTTCCAAATGCTGTCTGATAGTGTACTTGAGGTTGAGTCTACAATTTTGTCTTTAAAACCATCTCTACTTTCTTTTATACTTAATCATAAAGAGAACTGATATTTAAAATGGCATATATATGCATAAACTCTTAAAGTTCCATTTACTATTGGCCACTAACTAATCAAGACAAACATTAAGTTAAAAAGAAAATTACAGGCTTATCTGATGCCGAAGAACTAAGTCACAACCTTGCTAATTACAGAATCACTATATAGCAAAGGTGAGCTATGACTAGTTAACCATGAAGCAGTAAGTGTCCGTTTAAAACTCAGGGATTACTTTCTCAGGGACTTCCCTGCCAGCCCAGCGGTTAAGATTGCACTTCTACTGCAGGAAGCATGGGTTTAATCCCTGGTGGGGGAACTAAGATCCCACATGCTTCAGGGGTGCCCCCCAAATTGTCTTTCTCATTACAATATATTCTGTGTCCTAAAGCATCTTTTAAAGAACAACACTAAGAACATCAAGTCCCAAGCGGCCAACCTGAGCCCAACACATTATTTGACACCATTAGTACTGGGGGTAAATGAAAGAAAAATCCAATCTCCTTGTACTAAGTTTCTAAGACTGAGATCATTAAAAATGTCAGTCCTCGCCTTACCCTTCTGAACGATCTTATCCAGAATGTTGAAGTAGTTCTTCTGGGCCACACCACTCAGCGAGGTCAGCTGGGACTTTGCAATCAGCTGCAACAGCTTGGGGGGGTGGGGAGGGGTTACAGGTGAGCATCACCTCTGAAGGGAAGCCCACCTCCCCACCCCAGTGACCCGAGAAGAAAGCAAAGGATGCAGGTACAGCTGCTGCTCAACCCCCACCCTCCAGCCCCGGCCAGGGTCCTGGCCGCCCCTGCTGCACTCTCTGCCCTCTCCTTTGACCGCCCAGCCTCACAGGGGCCAGACCTCCCCTGATGGCCCCCCAGCACATCTGTCCCACTGCTCCTGCGGGTCCATCCGGCCCCGATGTCCACCTGCCTCCCAGGCGCCCCCTCCGTCAGAGGCGGGCTGCTCTCAGCACATGGAAGCCGTTGCATCCCTCCTCGGCTCTGAGGGAGGAGGGGTCCCAGTGGCTGGCAGGGAGGCCAGCGGGTAGGACCCAGGGGGACGTAGCAGTAGTGCCGGCTTCTCAGCCACAGAGCTTCCCCTCCCCTCTGCATGTCGGGGACACTGGTCACCACAAACAGAGCGCATCTCTAGGAGTCTCCAGCGCCCCATGCCCAGCTCTGTGCACACCAGTTCAGGAGACCTGTGTCAGCCCATCCCCACCCACTCACGTCCTGCAACTGCTGTGCCCGCGCAGGCCCTCACTGAGGCCATGCCTGTCTGGGGTGCTGGTCAGACCCGCACCCGCACACACACACCCGTTCACTGCTGCCCATACTGTTCCTGAGCAATCTGAGCCCCTCTGGGTGAGCCGTAAACACCTTCCAGAACCCGGATCACATCTGCTCCTGTGTTTCTGAAAAGGGGTTCTTCATCCCTCCTTTCCAGCCCTCCCTGCTGCCTCTGTCAGCTGCAGAGGGAGCAGAGAAAGTGCCAACTCACACGCACTTACACACTCGTGCACACACTCGCACCACTGTGTTGACTGTGGAGGCCAGAACAACAAACATGACAATCACACGGTAACTGCTGGGGAGGATCACGCAGCTAACGCTACTGTGTCTATGCATAGCTGCCCGGTGCTGCAGTGATTACAGAAACCACACCCCAGGCTGGGGTGGAGGTCACGTAACCAGCCAGCGTTCTGTCCTGACAGGAGCACTCCTACAGGCCCCTACGGGGAGTGCCCACCACAGCCTCGTGGCACTATTAAAAATCCCACTGACAGTTTCATGACTCACCACTTACTCTTGGCCTAGGACAGTCAGGTGAGTAAACTTGCTAGGCAAGTAAAAACAAACAATAAATGGAATATAGAGTGAGATCTCTTATTTTCTGAATGCAGGAAAAGGTAGACATTTCTTCTAAAAATGTATCATTAACACAATAAGGCTTCTATGCAGCTCTGTTCTGTATCAATTCCCTTCCCTCCATTAGCTTGCTCCCCTCTACCGAGCAGGGCTCATACTCTGGGAAAAACACCAAGTAGAAAATGCATATGAGACCACCAGGTAAGAAACCCTGAGAGGAACGCCCGCCTCTCCTTCCGTCTCCAACATGACACATGAGGTAGGCTGGAGGGAGCTTCAGTCCTCCTCCTCCTGATCCCCAGCCCCCACCCCATGGTTCTCCACCAGGAACAAGCACAGCTTTACGCAGCTGCCCAAAGCATCTTAAACATGAGACATGATAATCTTTAGGGCGCAACCACTCCACGTGTCCTCCGGTGGCTCTGAAATGAACACTCACCCTAACCACGTAATTGAACCTTCGGATGTCCTGGATCGCACTTGAGAAGTCTAAGCGATTAAAAGCTTCTCCCAAAGTACAGTAGCCGTGTCTCTGGAAAAACAGACATGAGTTATGATACATCTTATCAGCCAACCAGGCAAAATGAATGGACAGCTAATGGGAATTAATCCATGCAACTTTTTTTTTTTTAATTTTCGCAAAGGATAGTCATTTTTACTATGATTTATTCCATATTTAGATCTAATTTTTGAGTAAAATTAAAGCCATTCTAAATCTGTCATTTATGTGTAATCAATTATGTATACGCATTGACACTTTACACCTCTGTAGATACAAAGGTAAATACTGATTAAATACACGTCAATTTCTTTTGTTGACATGCATTTGGGGAGGACAAAATTAAGCCTAAAGTAATAAAATAACCAGATGTATTCTAGGCTGTGCAACTATAAATACATAAATCATGCTTGGCCATTATAAAAAGGCCTCTTCTATGAACACACGTGTTGCCATTCAATCCCTCTGCATGCAGTCCTGTGTACGTCCAGCCACTCAGGATCAAGGCCGAGAGGCACCTGGGTGGGGCCGGAGGCTTGCATATCAGTGTTTAGGTGGCAAGGGCTGGAGGCAATGGAATGTGACAACGGGCAGTGTTCAGGCTGGGAACAGGGGGCCTAGTACCCCAAAACCCAAGCATAAGGCTCACGGATTCAAGAGTCAAAGACCACGAAGGAAACCTGACTTTTTTTTATTACCAGAAACACAGCTATTTTAGATGTTTTTCCTTAATGATATGCCCCATATTCTATATTAAGCGCTGTAGCAATTTGAACCCTAGGTTTCAGAAGACATTTTAAACTCTATCCCTGTTTTTGAACACTTACAACACAGAGAGGTTTTCAGTTCAGAGTTGTGAGCATAAAGCACGGAATAATCACAGAAAACATGAGGAGACAGATACGCCTTGCGTTTCACAGAGACAGGAGCAGGCCCAGCGGGGCGGCGCCGGGGACACCTTGTCTCCGACATGAGACACACCCCCAAACCGCAGCAGCCTCAAGGTGCAGAGAAGTCAACAAGACACACTCATCGCACATGCTCAACATCAGTAGCTGCAGAACGTTCCCTGGGGGCTGCGGAGGGCGCGATGGTCATAATACGAAACCCATCACAGCTGATCACGTATCTCTTTCTCAGTGAACAGCATCCAGACACCGGTGTGACGGACTCCTCCCGGGCAGCCACCCATCTCACAACAGGGCTGGAAGGCGCACGCGTGCACCTCAAAAGCAGACACTTGGTGGGCCCAGAGGAGAAGACCAAAGGTGCGATGCTACGTGGAGCGAGGGGGGCCCTCCCGATGCCTGCCAGTGCCCCTGATCCCCGGACCCAGCAGCATCCGAAGCCTTGCAGCCCCCTCCCCTTCTGCCCCGTGTGCGCCAAAGCAGGACATCTACTCTGTCTCAGAGTCTTTCATGAGCTCACACAGGTTCTCCCGGCAGCACACATCCATTTAACAACAGCAACTACTGCCAAACAGGTCAGATTAACTCCCTGTCTCAGGATCTAACCCTTAAGCTTCTAGGAAATGGGGTTGGTTTCAGAACATCCACTACCAACACTGCCAGAACACTTCACTCACGCCAACAGTCTAACACATGCTAAACGACTCCTCCCAAATCATTTCCCCCAACTGTCGCAAAATAAGGCAAAAGCAAAAGAGTCTTTCAGGCTACAGATGGAAGCAAGCTTCCCCAGACACCAAGCAGAGAAAAAGGAAACAGACAGCTGAGGTGAACAGACCACACCTTCCGTCAAGAAAGGGGGATGGCAGGGCTTGAACGGCTTTTTGCAGATTCCAACTTAACTACCAACACCACCTTCACTGCTCTACAAATAAACGAGGGTTTACAAGCTGTTCCCACCCTTCCAGAACACACGGGGGCCAAAACACAGCCTCACCAGCAACAGTATCCCACCTCTGAACAGCTCGGGGAGGGCGGGGAGAAAATATCAAAGCAACTGCGGGCCCCTACTTGTTCAGAAACAGACCTCAGCTGAATCAGAGCTGTACAGGGCGCTGACATGCTCCACATACGCACACACACACTCACCACACACACGCACACACTCACACACACACAGAGGCACACACACACACACACACACTCATGCACTGAAAGACCCTCATAAGGCTTTCACCTGTCAGAATTTGGACACTGATTTGATACTGCAAAAGAAACACTTTACTTAAGGTGACATCAGACATCCAACAGAAGCAATACAAAATATACTCTTATTTATAACAAAATACTTACTTCTCTTGTGCTTTCTTTGTGGACATAGATCCAGTTTTCACGATAAAAACCTAGAATAAGAATTTGCTTTTAACATCTGGTGACTCATTACCAAATGAAGATTTTGAGGAGCTTCAAAAACTGCACATGTAACAACACTGTCGGATGCCACGTGGACAGGTGACCCCTGACTCAGCCACATGCTTCACCTCCCAACATCAGTTTACCAAGTGCTGAAACGTCTTTGCATGAAAGATGACATGGCACGCATCTTGGTGACTTAAAAGAAAATAGTGTCACCAGTGACTTCAGCCATCTACAAACATAAATGGCTACAAATGTGCATTTTGTATATACCCTAATAAAAATTCTCTTCCTCTTTCATTGTCCCTATATGGTATTCCATTCAAATACACTTTCCACGTAACTCACGTCCCAGAGTGTCAGGGATGGAGACTACATTGCCCATGGGAGCCTCCAGGGGGCGCACGACTGATCGCACTAACAGGCCCTCAGTGACTCAGGGCTGAGCACAGGCACAGGCACTCTCTCAGAGCCTCGCCACCTCCAGGCCCTCGCCCACCCTGCCTACAGGCTCCAGCTCTGACCGCGACTATCTCCTGTTCGGAGCCAGCAGTGTCTCCCGCACCAAAGCAGTGTCAAGGCCTCTAGAAGTCAGTTTCACTGCTTGGGAGTGAACAGACCTGAATTCAGGACCGCTACTATGACTCAGTGGTAAAAAAAAAACCCACCTGCAACGCAGGAGACACGTTCAGGGTTCAATCCCTGGGTTGGGAAGATCCCCTGGAGGAGGAAATGGCAACCTGCTCCAGTATTATTGCCTGGAGAATTCCATGGGCAGAAGAGCCTGGCAGGCTCGCAAGGAGTAGGACATAGCGACTAAACACACATAACTCAACACTCAGACAGGCTGTTCTGTGGGTTTTCCTGTCTTTTATTTCATTGCTGTAAATCTTACTGATGACTTAGTCAAGCAAAGGGCAGAGCTGCAAGACTCTGACCCCCAAGTCTGACCACCTCTGGACACACTGTTGCTTATGTAACTGGATCAGAATTTCTGCCCTAGAACAGCACTGTCAACACAATCCAATTTATCAAAACAGTCCACAAGCAAAAATCATGAGATTATTAATGAAAATGATCTTACACTGAGTATTTGTGTCATTTCTAAAATGGTCCTTTTTCCTTTTTTTGGATGCATATTCGTGCTCTTCATTACTGAATATTTCTTCATCTTCACTATTTAAGATACTGAAACAAAGATACATTTTATTAAAATATTTTTAAAAGGATTTCTTCATTTGGATTTTCTTTTGTAAAATAAATAAACAAATTTTGGTTTATATGGACAATAAATACTTTTACAATTCAGGAGCCCAAAATAAAAATCATGTTAAAATCTGAAGGCAATCACCTAATTTTCAAAGCAACAAATCACACGTTTGAAATTACAAGGCTAATATCTAAGTTTTTTGTTTGTTCTGAGAAATCTGAGGTTTATCCTGGTTCTTATCAGAAAGTTGTATCAGGAAGTGATGTACATGTTTTAGAATCTCCTAAGGATTTTGATATGCTCAACCAAGGTCATTTCAGACTTTAAAACTTATATTTATAATCTATACTCTGGAAAAAAGTACCTGATACTAATGATCTGCTGTCTCCCTGATCCAATGCTGAGGAAACACCCAATATTTCTGCTTGTCCCCACGTTTCCAAAGACTCAACTAGAACATTACTGCACTGGCACGTATCTTTACGAAGCATCAAATAATGCTGCCTATTAAGGCTTCTAACTGAAGCCGGATGAAGTAAAACATGTCTTTTATCCACTGAAATACATGTAATTTAAAGCTTTCCCATTTTTTTTCTTTTGGATGAAACAAGATAATAAAATCATAAGGTGATAACTAAACAACTTGAAAACACTTTCTTTAAAAAAAAAAATCTTCCTTGTAATTAAAAAAAAAAAAGACTAGGCAAAACACAGCCCACCCCCTTCAAAAGCAAAGATGACACAATGTTCACTCTCAGCATAGTGACCCTGGACAGCTTTCCAGCTGGTGGCAAAGAGGGGCTCCCTGGAGATCCTGGCCTGCAGTGGTCCAAGCACCGATGCGCAAAGCCAAGGAGGTCACACCGCGGGCTTCCTCGCCACCACGCTCTGAAAATTGTACACAGGCGCCATCCACTAACCCGAATTCACTTTTAATAAAAAACAGCTGAATTTGCCAGATGAATGCATTCATCACTGTCAGAACAGACTTAAACAACACTGGCAAGAACTGTAAATCATCAAGACAGGCAAAAGAGCACTTACCAAAAACAAACAACTTAACTTTCAGTGACAGGTGCTAAATAACACCAATTCATAGAAATCGGATGATCCTGTCTGTATCTCACACCTAGTCTCACACGAGTTTGCTGTCACTGATTCAAGCACTAAAGGCAGAAGCTCTCAAATCTGAACAGCTTCGCTAATGACAATCACAAGGGTATCCAGGAGGAGCGGAACCACACTGCTCTCCAGAAAGACATCAGAGAAGTGGAACCCGGCGTGGGGCATGAGGGAGCTGCCCAGCACCCCCACACCCGACTCTCCGCTGGCTGGGCGAGAGCAGCAAGGGGCCCTGGGGAGACATGCCCACGTGTGCTCTGCCAAACTCTGCCCTGGGAGGGCCAGGCCGCCAGACTGCCCCTCATCTGAAGGAACAGTCTGGGGACAAACGTATAGGAGGAAGCACAGACACCTATGTACTTAAGCTGTCTGACTTACGCTGTCAGTTCAAATACACAGATGAGAATTAGGTCAATGTGAGATAAAAATATGCAGTATGATCCACAGCAAAACCCATGAGTCTCTGGAGGTAGAGGTCCCCAGACCTCCCACTCCCCAAGCGCTGCAGGACACTGGTGACATGGACTATGGGTGACTCGCCAGGACCCGCCAGCCTGCTTCTGCGTCTGCAATCACTCACTTCCATCTGGGGAGGACCACGGCCCCCAGCCGCCGCTGCTGCTCACACACCAGCTCGTGAGGTGGGGACAGGCGTCTCCCTCTTCCCTTCTCCCGCCAGGAGGAAGCTATATCCTGAACCGCACACGTGAGGCCACACTCTGGGACCCGCAGAGCAACGAGACACGTCACTTCAGCCCCGAGCAAAGTCACAGCGCCACTCAGGCCTCCAAGAGAAACCTCTCCCACCTGGTGCAAGCCATTATTAGGGGCCTCGGACATAGGCCAGCAGCACTGCGTCTTTTCATTTCTTCTCCTTCCTCAGCTATGCGTGCATGTTTAATCGCTTCAGTTGTGTCTGATTCTTTGTGACCCCATGGACTGCAGTCCTCCAGGCTCCTCTGTCCGTGGGGTTTTCCAGGCAAGAAAACTGGAGTGGGTCGCCATTCCCTTCTCCATCCTCAGCTATAATGGGAAGTTAATAATAACAACACCTATCTCTCAGAAAGCTGTAAGTAGTAAACGTTTTAAATAAAAAGAAGATAGCAGCATCTGTGTGTGGGCACCAGCAATCCACCAGGCTCAGACTCTAGCTAATAACTTGTCTCCTCACACCAGCCTGTCTGGGGGTGATTCTCAGCCAACTGGTAAGTCACGGGGCTTCAGCAGACACGACATCAATGTTGGATGGGAGACACCACGGCTCTGCTGAGCTAGACTCACATGCCGTGGCCAATGTCACACTGGCTGTTCTCTCCCTCAAGTTCCTGGCTCCATGCATCACATCTTTTCCAGCCGTCTTCTGTTTTGATCCAACTCCATCCAGGAGATCTCCAGTCCTGGCCCAAAAATGGCATAGTTCGCCTATAAAACATGGTTACTTTGTGTTAAAAATGTGTAAGTGATATGGTTCTTTTCATTTAGAACATGTGTTCATTAATTTTAATGAATACAATCCTATTTAAATGTCTGTATGTGCCTTACATGCCGGCTACACAGAAAGATAAGACAGTGAAGATAGCACAGTCCTCAGTTGTCCAAAGAGGGTAAGACAGATGAGGACTGGTGGATTTCCTAGCTCAATCCTGCATGTGCCATGAAAGGTGTCCCAGGGCTGACATCCCAGCTCATACCTGAAGAACAAGCAGTCAGAGAGTGAGGAAGAAAGGGGGAAATGACACAACAGAAAATCCACTCAGAAGATAGAAGCAAAGGACATGAGACACTGATGCTCAGCCCTGTACACAGTCGGGTTTGGTGAAGCTGACCACGAAAGGGGAGGAGCGGGGAGTGGCTGGCATGAGAACGAAGAGGCCACCAACGCAATCGACTCAAAGGAGCTGGACTGCACTCTGAGGACTCAGAGTGGCCAACACAGGGACCTCTGCAGGGAGGCGACTCAACCAGATCTGAGCGTCACAAAGACCTCAGGCTACTCAGTCTCTCTGCCAGCACCTCACGTCTTCCCAGTAATGAGTGTCCTCTGAAGTTACACGGCTGCCACCTGCCTTCCTCAAGAAAATACCATGCCTTGTTCAACTCTGTATCCCAATACCCAGAACAATGCCAGGCACATAGGGAGCTCACCAGTCACTGAATGAATGGAAGAATGAATGAAACACAAGCAGATCCATGACTCGGGGGAGAGGGTGAGGCAAGAGAGTAAGGTGGGAAAACCATCAGCATCCAGACAGTATGACCACAGGAACCACGTCTCAGACAGAGACCAGGCCGAGTGGGACAAGGAGAGTCAAGCCACAAGCTCTAAGACTCACTGACATGTAAGGAACGGGCAGATGAAGATGAGCCAAGAAAGGACACCAAAAAGGAAAAGCCACAGATGCAGCGGAAGTGGCAATGCAAGACAAGAACGGACTCAAGAAGGAAACGATCAACAGAGAGGTAAGTGTGATAAAGAAGACATTACGGTAAGAATTTAAAAGTATACTTTGTATTCAGCTGTACAAAAAAGGTACTTCACAATCCAACAGAAAGTTTCAGTAGAGTAACTGTGTTAAATTAACCTCATGTCCAAAGTAAATCTGGGGTATTTCCCTAATATCACACATCATATCAGAGTACACAAGAGATTAAAGTGTTTAAATACCATCTCCCAAATATATTTAATATAACTCACAAAAAATAAGCTATGAAAAAGGCATTTATACGGGCTTAAAAAAGACAAAAAAATTTCAGAGAGAAATTCTAAGCCTTCAACAATATTCCTGAGTTAACTACAAGTACCCAACATGAAATGTATGAAGTAATTTTCCGCCATACCAAGAGGATCTCAAAACCTTGTTTAATTAATAATCAGAACACACCTTTTTTAGTCATATATTATTTAATTTAAATCCTTGCTTTAGAAAATAATTAAAAATAATTTCCTAAATCTCAACAGTACATCAATAAAGCTCATATTACAGTCCTGTTTCACAACTACAGATCACCCTGAAATGCAAAAGCCACCATCCATGTCCAGTCAATCCAGATAAAACACAAACAAGAGAAGAATGTCTGTTAGGACCACTCTGACAACTGCCAAAGTATCTTTCAATATCATATTTAAACTGCATTTTGGAATAATCAAGTGGCAACCGTACAGAATATTGCCAATAGGTCCAAGATACGATTTCTTCAATGACAAATATATAAACACAGACTAAATGAGTTGTTCCAATCCCAAAGAAAGGCAATGCCAAAGAATGCTCAAACTACTGAACAACTGCACTCATCTCACATGCTATCAAAGTAATGTTCAAAATTCTCCAAGCCAGGCTTCAACAGTACGTGAACTATGACCTTCCAGATGTTCAAGCTGAATTTAGAAAAGGCAGAGGAACCAGAGATCAAATTGCCAACATCCACTGGATC